AGGGTCCCTCTAAGGATTCCTTAAAAGGGATGTTAGGGTCTCTTAAGGTTCAGGGCTCCGGCTCCGAGTCCAGGGCTGAGGTTTTTTAAGGTTTAGGCCTTCTAGGTTTCAGGGCGTATGTAGTAAGTTAGAGTTTAGAGTTTAGGGTTTAGGGTTTAGGGTTTAGGGTTTAGGGTTTAGGGTTTAGGGTTTAGGGTTTAGGGGTTTAGGGTTTAGGGTTTTTGTAGTGGTCCACTTTGGGATTTCCTGTCTCCTCCAGAATCTTGAGGTGAAGGGCGCCATTTTCGTCATGTCGGCCCCTTGTTAACTCACTCGCATGTTGGTTGCAAGGCCTTTTCAGGTAACGTCTCGTCATCGCCACAACACCCTTAAACCCTAAAGCAGTAAACCCTAAAACACCGCGGCTTTTGAAGCTGTGAGTGAGCTGTTGAAGGTGGGTAGGCCCCCGGTCATCGCTTGCTGGGAGGGTGCTCTTGCGACAACCCCGGACGACTCGGGCTTCAATGACCTAATACTCGAACTTGAACAGACACCTTGGGTCTTTGTTGAGTCCTCTATGGATCCTAATAATCTCGGGTTATACCAGGGTTTCTTAACCAGGTTCCTACATTGGTTACATTACCTGCCAAGTTTTCCTAGGAATACTTACTGTTAAACCTTCTGAGCTTGTGTAACACTTAAATAGGAGTTCTCGCTAAAACCCAACTTGCAAACACCCGGTCCTATACCGCCCTTACACAATCTTGAACGCTACATGCTCGACTGCTACTGAGCCCTAAACATTAAGCCCTAAACCCAAATTGCAGTTTTAACCGATAACGAAACCAAGAGGGTCCATATATACTACTATGATGGAATTAGGTCCCCAAAACCATAATAAGGATGGTCTTTGGGGACCTAATTCCATAATGGTAATGTATATGGACCCTCTGGGGAAACCAATAATCCTAAACTGCACTTGAAAAAAAGCCCAAGCCCTGACCCGCAGAGCCTAAGACGCTACCTTGAATCCCAAAGCCCTTGAATGTTCTAAAACCCTCATATCCCCGTGCCTTCATAATGTTCACTGGGGTGTGGGGGGGGGGGGGGCATCGTCGTGTTATAGTATACTTGTACAGGGACTTTTCAGCAAACCCCTAAGCCGTGTACTGTAGGACATCGGGGGATAGTGTTACGAAGTATTCGGAACACGGTATTAACCCCTTAATTGCAAAGTCTTAGACCCTAAACCTAAACCCTAATCCACAAACCCGATACCTTCAGCCCCTACACCCCATGTAAACCCTAAACCCTCAAAGCCCTGAAACCCTTTTTTGCAACAGGCTTCGTACTTCGCCTGGAGCCCTGAAACCCTAAACCCTAAACCCCAAGAGGGCCTTGTTGGACAACGACGGAGTCGTCGCACCGAAGGATACCTGCGGTACCTCAGGCTTTGCTCTTCAGGGATCCACCAACGACATCCAGAAACCACCCTCTTCTCGGTTCCGGGGATGCTGACAAGCAACAACACCCTCTGTTTACTGAGGGTATAACGTTCTGAGCAATCTTTAGCTCGGTTTGATAACTGCAAAACCACAAGGATTCAGGTTCTGTCGGTACCCTGATACCCCAAACCTACTGTTGGAGGGTTCGGTGGAGCTGTCAAATCCCAAAAGGAAACTGGTACAGGCATGTACAGGCCCTAAACTGGGGGAATACTTGTTTGAGGACGCCGGCAAAAGGCACCCCCACAGTTGAGGAAGCACTAAAAAGTCTCTATACGACCCTGCCAAACCTGATGCTAAAGAATATTCCAAGAACCCTATGACCATGGCCCTTACAAAACCCTTGTAGACCTTCAACCTTTTAGAGCCACATAAGACGATTATGGCTCTTGCAAAACCTACCCTAAACCCATAAAACCCCTAACCCCTAAATCCTAAAAGCCTAAACCTTAAACCCCAAACCCCCTACTCCTGGCTGGGCCCTATCTAGAGTAGCCTCAGGAGGAACCCTAAATCCTGAACCCTTTTGTTGTTTTGGTGCTTTCGGCACCGTAGGGGTGGAGGCTCTGACGGGTTCAGGGCTTGGGGCTGTTGGACCGCAGCCGTGGCGTTTGTTGTCGTGAGGTATATGGGCAGTTCTCTGGATTGGGGTCTCCTTATAGGGTCCTTTTTATAAGGGTGCCGTACTATACTTGGGACTGAAATAGGGACCCTAATTTAGAGAACTACCCACCCAGAGCCTCCAATATCCCTTCATTAAGGAATATACCTTAAATTATAACAGACTTCCTAATATGATTTAAGGTATATTCCTTAATTAAGGGATATTGGAGTCTCTGGGCACCCTGAACAATAAACCCTAAACCCTGGAGGGATATTGGAGTCTCTGGGCACCCTAAACCCTAAACCCTGAACCCTAAACCCTAAACCCTAAACCCTAAACCCTTGAAGGGACCTAAAAAGTCCTGCCGCTTTGGAGTTTGCATTTTCCCACACCCTCAAGGAACAAGCCGCCATAGTCTGCGAAGGGGCAGCTGCCAGCTAACCAGCTATGGGGTTAGGGTTTAGGGTTTAG